TCTTGGTTATCACTGGGTGGCCTTGAACACAGAGAGATCCATCTATCTCTTAATCCTGAGTCTATGATTAAAGGTGTGTACCACCACCACCTAGCTTCTGGATGCTGGGATTAAAGGTGTGTATCATCACTGTCTGATCTCTACAGCTTGAAGCTGACTTTGCTTTTCTGAATTGTCAAGCAAGCCTTAATAAACCATAGATAATATATCACTATATAGTATACTATTTTCTAGATAGTCATCTATTTATCTGCAAATTACAGGATTTCATTCTTATTTACTGAGGAATAGAATTTCATTATTTATGGTGGCACATTTTCACTATCTACCATCCTCTAAAGAACACTTAGGGTGTTTCTATTTTCTCTTCTAAATAGTCATTCTAAATATAGAGTAATGGATTGGATGAATAAGTATCTGTAAAATGGATATTCAGTCTGTTGGGCATATGCAAAGAAGGGGTATAATTGCGGCATACATATATGTATGCTGCAAAGAAAGGGTATAATTGCATCATATATATGTGTGTGTGCATATGTGTGTGTGCATGTGTGTGTGTTGCATGCACATGCTTATGCATGTATCCTAACACCATCCTAAAACCTACAGCAGATAGAGACTATCACAGAAATCCAAAATTGGTCAGAATGTATAAAATAAGTGGCCTTAGGACAACTCCAACTTAACATAGCTACATACACCTACATGACTGACCTTCCCACAAAGTATATTCATATCCTTTTGTTTTTCAAGTCTTTCTTTTGTTTCATATTTTTAAGATATTAATATTTGAATGTTAAGCCTGGCCAAGTAATTTTGCAAGCAGAAACTTAAATTAAGAAAATGCCTCCACCATACTGTCAAGTCTTTAATGTGATTTCTTAATTAGTGACTGATGTGGGGAGAGCCCAGTTTACTGTAGGTGGTATCACCTTTGGGCTGGTGGTCCTGAGTTCTGTAATAAAGAAGACTGGGAAGGCCATGAGGAACAAGACAGTATCAGCACCCTCCTGTGACCTTTGCATCAACTCCAGCCTCCAGGTTCTGGCACTTTTGAGTTTCTGTACTGACTTCCTTCAGTGATGGCCCCTGATGTGAAACTGTAAAATGGAATAAACCCTTTTGTCCCCACATTGCTTTTAGTCTTTGTGTTTTATCACAGCTTATGGAAATCCTAACTAAGGTAAAGATATATAGACCATTCTCTCTATCCCTTTCCAGCTTCTCCCATTGTTAACATGCCATAGTGCATTTATCAAACTCAATTAACACAATAACACTAAGGAAGCTACAGGCTTCTTTCAGATTTTGTCAGCTGTATCTCTCAGACTCGTTTTTTTCCTGTAGAACCAAACCAAGAATATGCCATTGGATTAAGTCATGCTTTTTATTTGCAGCCTCAACTGTGAATTTCAGTTCTTCCTGCCATTACCCTTGAAATTTCAGGTATGTTTAGTTGTTTATTTGCTACTTTTAGTTTTGTTTAGTTTTACTATTAAAACATCATTATACTACTTCTCCTTTCCTACCGTAAATACTTCTGTATACTCCTCCTTGCCTTTTTTATAGCCTCTTATTTCACTGTCATTATATGCATATTTACAAAGTAACCATTACATTTTTTTGTATTTATAATGAGAACCCTTGTTAGCTCTACCAGTGCTTTGTTTACTCATGTATTTTATCTAACACATGAAAATAGTTTCAGAACTGCTTATGTATATTCTTTTGATGAAAAAAATTCAATAGGAATGGAAAACATTTACTCCTCTTTTTTTTGCAGTTGACTGTACCTTACTCTGTTCAGATTTTGCCCAAATACTATTTTCCAAAATAATTTAGACTAGATATCCTTCCTCTGCAGCCTTCAATCATAACTTACCTCTGTAATTCATATCCAAAGTTGTCAGTTTTCCCCTTTGCCTTGGAGACACATTCTACCCACTTTCTTATTTGTATTCTGCATAACTGAACATTGTATTTTAGTGTTTTACGCATTGCGTGTAATTTGTCTCACAGTTAAAGAACATACAGAACAGTCTTGTATCCTCACATTTTCCCATGCATTCAAAAATTATTTTTAAGCAGTTATCCTGTGTAACTATGCAAGCAAACTATGGAGATGCTTCTTCCTGTCTCAGATTTGCCTTTTTCCTGAATTTGAATACTTGATATCACACAGCGCTTAGACATTTGGGGCTTCCCTGTTTTACTTAAAGTAATGGATTTGGGATTTATACAAGGGTGCCTGTATATACAGCTCACTGATAGAGTACTTGCCTAGAAGGCACAAGGCCTTGGATTAATTTCTCATTATTGAAAAGAAAAGATAAATGCTTATTATAGTCATGAAATCAATAGCTCTTTTCTATAGCAGAATAGTATGCTATTGATATTCTAGTTTGTTCTTCAGTTTAGCAATTAAATACAGCATTTGTTTGTTTATTTGAAACAGTATTGCACTATATGGGTCTAGATGGTTAAAGATAAGCGTTAAAGGCATGTGTTACTGCACCAATAACATTTTGGCTATTTTTAAAATTTTATGAATGAATATTGCATTGCTACAAATATTTATATACATTTCAAGTAAAATGAGTATTCTTTTCATAGAAATGGAATTATTGGGCCATATAGTATATGTATAAAATGATTTCTAATTTATGATCGTTCCATTTGTGATCTTGGAAAATTTACAGCAGTTTAAAAATAATATTCAGATACTAGAAACTGTATTCAAAGTTTGACCATGTTTTAGTGTAGAGGAGCAGTTCTCAATCTGTGGGGGTCAACCACTTTGTGAGTCAAAGGACCCATTCACAGGGGTTCTATGACCTTTTGTAAATACTTAAGACCATTGGAAAACACAGATATTTACATTACTATTCATAACAGTAGCAAAATTACAGTTATGAAGTCACAACAAAATGAATTTTATGGTTGGGGGTTGCCACAACATGAAGAACTATAATAAAGGGTTACAGCATTAGGACAGTTGAGAACCACTGGTGTATGATATACCCTTTCTAGAATACTGTCCCAGTTTGAATTTCCATAACAATGAATGAAAGTCTTCATGGCTCTAAATGCTTACTAATATTTTATAGTGTCAGATTTTCATTTCAGTATTTTTAAATGGTATTTCAGGTTAGTTGTGAGCAAAATATAAATATAAGGGCAAATTCTGATATTTATACACTTTTAAATTGAGTTATTGATATTCTCATCATGTTAAGAATTATCAATTATTTAACAGGATGTGATCTATAAATCTACAGCTCACTTTTTTATGCTTCTATGCATCTTTGGAAACATATTTTGAAATATTGTATTTTATATTTAAGGATGATTCTTTCATTATACCAGAGTATATATGTCAAAGGAAAATTTTAAAGCTCCCCAAATCAATGATGTTTCATTGCTTGAAAGTACATAACTTCTTAGGCAGACACTCTCATAAATTCTGTGGATATACTGATCCTCATTTTAAGTTAAAGATTGAAGCTTTAACTTTTTTTCATTCACAGAAATGCAAAGATTATTTGCTCCTTTTTTAAGTTTTGAATTCACCCTGCGTAGCTCACTGAGTAACTGAATTGTATGTAGCAGCCTTGGAGCAACAGTCCTACAAGACAGAGCAGTGTTTGACTATTCTTTAGCCACACACTACTGTTAAGTAGTGAAATGTTGTTTGGTGGGCCTGAACAAGTTAATGTCAAGACTATTACTTTATTTTCATAGTCAAAGCATTTTGAATATGTGTAAGCAAATTATGTTTATTATTATCTGCTTACTAGTTACAAACTTTCGATTTCCCCAGATGCATCAAGAATATACCAAAAAAAAAAAAAAGAAAGAAACAGAAAAAGAAAGAAAGACCCCAGAAAGTAAGCAAAACTGGAGAGGCTACCTTAAATGTCCTTCCCCTATAATGAGATTGATGACTACCTTACATGCCATCCTAGAACCTTCATCCAGTAGCTGATGGAAGCAGAAACAGAAATTCACAGCTAAGCACTGAGCTGAATTCCTGGAATCCAGTTGTAGAGAGGGAGGAGTGATGAGCAAAGGGGTTAAGACCATGATGAAGAAACTCACAGAAACAGCTGACCTGAGCAAGTGGGAGCTCATGAACCCCAGTTTGGCATCTGGGGAACCTGCTTAAGACTGAACCAGGATCCCTGAACATGGGTGTAAGTTGGAGAGATTGGGACACCTATGGAGCCTCTGTCAGTGGAACCAGTATCTATTCCTAGTGCATGAATGGGCTTTTTGGAGCCCATACTCTATGGAGGGATACTCTCTCAGCCTAGATACAGGGGGGGAGGATCTAAGCCCTGGTCCAAATCATGTGACAGATTTTAGTGATCCCTCATGGGGGCTTCACCCTCCCTGGGGAGTGGATGGGGGGTGAGATAGGGGATTTGTGGGGGGGGGGGTATAGGATGATTGGAGGGAGAGGAAACTGGGATTGGTATATAAAATAAGAGTGTTTGCTGGGCATTGATGGTACAGGCCTTTAATCCTACCACCCAGGAGGCAGAGGCAAATGGATCTCTGTGAATTTGAGTTCAGCCTGGTGTACAGAGCAATTGCCAGGATAGGCTCCAAAGCTACACAGAGAAACCCTGCCTCACAAAACAAAATTTAAAAAAAGATTATTTTAATTTAAATGAGACAATTAGTAAAAAATAATGCTTATATCTTTCTTCTTCACAGGAACACAAAGATACCTAAAGAGTTTAAAAATTTAAAGATATCACATATCATTGAATGCCAGTATATTACTTTACCATAACTATTACTCCACGTTACAAATATGAAATAGTATTAATTCTAAATTTGCAAAACATCTCCTTAAATCAGATAATCTAAGTCTGTTATACTTTGAATGCTGTATTGCTCATAATTTTCCAAAACAATATGAAATATCTCTAATTTCAAATTGAATACATTTTAGACACCACCAAGCTAAGTAGAAAAACTGAACATATACTCACACTGTAGAGAACAGCATGGGAAGCAGAGACGGATGTAGAAATACTCCAGATACTTGAGTTGTCAGATACTTGAGCTGTCACATTCTAAATCTGTTGAATGGCAAATAATCAAGGAGATAAGTTCAATGTACTGAGTGAACTGTACAGGCTTCTAGATATCAAAAACATGGTGTGGGATCAGCTACCCCACTTTACAAACATCTATGTTTTTATACAGTGTTATTCTATCTCTTACTTGTGGTTTTCTTTTTCAGTCTTAGGCAAATGTTATCAAAACACATGGAAAATACCAGCCGTATTTGGTCTTTATACAATATTTAAAGAAAAAATGTTGTAGAATGCTAAGAGAATGTGTAAATCTTGAGAACCAAACACATATTTCACACAGTATGCTTTTTATTATGTCCATTATTAATAGTATAAATTGTAGCCACAGGAAAAATATAAAATAGATAGTTATTAAATTATCTGAATGTTTTCATTGTATGGAAAATAAATGTCAAATTTCTAGATGACATGCATAAACATCTTTCATTTTCAAGCTAATATTTGTCAGTCAAAATACATGATTCATGTAAGTAAAGGAAAGTGTGTTTTTATTTTTGAATTACACATTTTATTGTGAATAAGATTACAATTAATTAAAAATGGGAAGTCAACTTCCTTGACCAGCTACAGTAGATAGTAAGCAATATCTTTTTAAAATTTAGAGACATCTGTCAGTGTAGCTATGAGCAGCTACAAATGTAATTCTGCTTCACCATCCCTCTCTTTCCACAGCTCTGAGGTTACTGGTGTATACCACCAATTCATCACAACAAACATCCTTATCAAGTAAGAAAGATTCAGATTTCACCCTAAGATAATAGCTCCTTAATTTGCACTGCATACATTCATGTTATATCTAAAATATGTCTTTATTATAGAATCAATAAGTTGCTTATCCTTTGAGACCACTAAAGCTATTTGTTAGATGCATTGCACACTTATACATACACATATATACATTCACACACAAATTCACACATTACATACACACATTTCATACATACAGATATGGGCACATGCATACACATACATAATCACATTTTACACTCACACATACACACACAATCTGTTTTTTGTATTCCATGTTTCATAAAATATTAAAGTTTACAACCTTGAAATTAATATACTGAAAAAATTTTCTTCTGATCGTAGTGAGGAAATACACAGTCTTCAGTTATGTATACTAAAGATAAAGATAATTTAAATTTATGTCAAATGTAGTGCTCCCTCTCCCAAATAATACCCTTTAATATATACCCAAACACATTTTCAGAAAACACAAATATAAAGAAAGGTTCTGTCTGTTTATAAAAATGAAATTTTACCTAAATGTTCTTTTCTGTTTTATCAAATATATGAGAAAATGAAATGTGCCAATTCATAGTTTGCAACATTTTTCAAGGTGTTATGGGTGTCACATTCTAAGCAGAAGTCTTAGGAAAGTTTTGTTTTCCTTACTTTTCACAGTATTGATAATTCAGTCCTTTCATGTATATTAATAATTAGGAAATACTGAGGCTCCTGGAAATATAGAGCTGACCTCACAAATCCTTGTTTGTTAATTGTAGATTTCAATTGTACATGGCTTCCTGGGAATCATTTTAAAGATTATTTTGCTAAGGTATCTACTTTCAAAATTGTTCATGCCTCAAATTACAAAAGAATAATGAAAGTGCTGTAGCTGGTAGAATTTGTTTTGTAGAAGCATATTATCTTATGTTTAAAGGCTATTTAAAGATTAAAACCACAAATCAACACTGTATTTTCATAAATTATGAAATGTGTTGTATGTAAGTCTAGACATAAAGGACGTTAATAAAGAGGATGGTTCAGTCTAGGAATGCAAACCTTATGACAAATCCTGTTTGAATTTAAAGGACCTGACCTAACATTTTAAAACCTCTAAGCTGAAAAGCATAAACTATCAAAGACCAGGGTTCAGAAAAAATGCATAGAAGTATTTTTTTTAGATTTATCTAATGTGCATGACTTTGTATGAGTGTGTGTGTGTGTGTGTGTGTGCATGCGTGTGTACAGATGTGAGTGGGGATGTACCACAGCATGTGTGTGGAGTTCAGAGAACAGTTCACTTGACTTGGCGCTTAGCTTTCACTATGTGATCTCTGGAACTCAAAGTAAGGTCATTGGGCTTGTGGCAAAGCATTTTTACACTCTGGGACAACTCACAGGTTAAGATATTGATGCATTAACATATGGTACCTCTTTTCTGTATTGATGTGCTTATTCAAATAATAGAAAGTGATTGTTTACACAGGACATTTCCCAAAGGACAAAACTAGATACCAATTAGTGCTATATATTTTTTCAATTACTGCTCATTTAGTTGATCAAAGTGACTGAAAACCATCAATCATATCACTATATTACATATCAATCAAAAGAATGGAGAAATAGAAAGGAAACATTATTTCGAAAGAAGAAGACTTTAGAGGACTTTAAGCAATGTTTCTGGTACCATTTTAGATATATTCAAAACCTATCTCTGTTAATGGAATCATGCCCCTTGATCTACATCACTAGATGTGATTAAAGGACAATGACTTTTGAACAAATAATGACAATTACTTTATGCCATTTACAGCAATAAATGAGATTTGCCTCCAGAAGAGGTCACAGAGTCAATTCCTGTGGCTGTATTTCAAATAGAATTTTATGGTTTCACAATTACTCAACTGGGTCTTCAAACTCACAATAATTCAACATATATTCTTAGAAACAACTTCTATGCAACCAAGAACATCTAGGTGCTATGAATATAAGGGTTTCTAACACATTCTCCTCGCCCTTGAAAGGTTCATATTTAGGGGAAGAAGGAGAGGATGAATAATGAAGAACTTTGTGCAAAATGCGTGTCTGGGGACACAGATGTAGCAGTGCTCCATTTTCCCTGGCAGGGACTTAATAGAAAATACACTGTGCCTGATGAATGCTGAATGGTGACCCACAGTGCAGCATTCTCAGATACAAGAAGGAATGATAATAAAGTACGGGACTAAAACATCATCTGACTTTGGTGGAGCAGAGACATATAAAGTGCAACAGAGGACACGCAGAAAGTGCAGCAGAAGATATAGAGGAGGCAGGGAAGGTGAAAAAGAGCTCATCTACTGGCAAGCTTAAACCTGTTAACAGTAATGTCAGCAAGTAATTAAACAAGATTTACAATATACAGATAGTTTTAAGATGAGTGTGTGTGTGTGAGAGAGAGAGAGAGAGATAGAGAGAGAGAGAGAGAGAGAGAGAGAGAGAGAGAGAGAGAGAGAGAGAGAATCTATGGTGTATATCCTTGCTCATTCCTGTAAACAGTTCCAGTTCCATGCATCAATGCTATTCACATATGGTGATCATTACATATTCAAAAACTAAATAGCTTAGACAAATGTCTGAGTTGGCATTTATATTGCTTTTAGGAGAAGCCATGGCCACAGAAACTCTCATAAAGGAAAACATTTTATTGGGGTTGACCTACAGGATTAGTTTTAGTCCATTATCGTCATGGCAGGAAGCCTGATGGTGTGTGTGCAGGCAGACATGTTTCTAGAGGAGTCAAGAGTTCTACATCAGATTGTCAGACAGCAGGAAGAGAAAGTGCCACTGGGTTTGTCTTAGGCACCTGAAACTCCAAAGCCTACTCCAGTGACACACTTCCTCCAACAGGGCCACATCCTCTAATGTCACTCACTAAACATCAACTATAAGTCTACAAGGGTCATTCATATTCAAACCTCCATACCAAAGTCACCAAAATAAGTGGTGTAACTACACTGTAATTTAGAAAGTTTATTCCAGAGTTACACTCTTCACTTGCAGGTCTGCCTCATGGACAACATGTAATGGCCTAAACTGTGGTTCTCAATATGTAGGTTATGACACTATTGTGGTAAAATGACCCTTTCACAGGGGTCACCCAAGACAATTACAATTCTAATCAGGAGCAAAATTACAGTTAAGAAGCAGCAACAAAAAGTTTTATGGTTGGGAGTTACAACAACATAAGGAACTATATTAAACAGTTGGAGTGTTAGGAATGTGTCTGCAGATGACCAAAACTCCCTTAGAGCCCCCATATATTCCCCGAACAGTCCCCCACTTATCATCACCATACCCAGGCCCACAGCTCCAGCAGAAGCCCCCTCTTTTATCAGCGGTCACACAGACAGCCAGATCCCCAGGGATCACACAGGAATCTAGAAAGCAATTAGGGGCAGCCTGCTGGACAGGAAGACAAAACATCCACTGGAGCCATAGGACACTAAGGACAAATACCAGGAAGGAAACAGAAACCAAAGGAAAGAAACACCCATCCAACAAAGACAAACTCAGAAATTGGCATCTAAACTTATATAATCTCAAACCCAAAAGCCTAGACTCCAGCATAAAAACAAAATCAACAACAGCCAGGGCAATAAACCACTACCAGACCCCAGCCATCATACAACAGCAAACCCTGAAAATTCCAACATAGATGAAGAGCAAGAAAATGACATCATCAGCAATTTATAAAGATCATAGAGGTCCTAAAAGAATAAACGAATAAATCATTTAAAGAAATTGAGGAAAATAGAAACGAAAAATGTTGAAGATAGGAATTAACACCTTAAAGAAAGCAAAGAAAAAGAAACAAAGGAAGAAACAGATGAAGGAAATGAGTAAAACTGTTGAAGACCTGAAGGTGGAAATAGAAGCAATAAAGAAAACACAAACTGAGGGAAAATTGGAGATGAAAAATCAAGGTAATTAAATAGTAACTGTAGATGTAGGCATCACCAACTGAACAAGAAATGAAAAAGAGAATCTCGAACAAAGAAGATATGATAGAAGAAAATGATACATCAGTCAAAGTAAATGTTGATTTAAAAAAATTATGACACAAAGCATCAAGGAATTCTGGAACACTATGAAAAAAATCTAAGAACAATAAGAGTAGAAGAAGGAGGAGAATTCCAGCTCAAGCCCCAATATTTTTTAACAAATTCTAGAAGGAAATTGTTGTAACCTAAAGAAGAACATGCCTTTAAAGG